GGGTGACAGAGTGAGACTCCAACTCAAAAAAAAAAAAAAATTTTTTTTAAATTAGCCAGGATGGTGGTGTGTGCCTGTAGTCCCAGCTACTAGGGAAACTAAAATGGGAGGATCCTTTGAGCCCAGGAGCTTGAAGCTGCAGTAAGCTATGATCATACCACTGCACTCCAGCCTGGGTGACAGAGCAAGACTCTTTTCTCTTAAAAAAAAGTTCTGGCCAGGTTCGGTAGATCAGCCTATAATCCTAGCACTTTGGGAGCCCGAGGTGAGTGGATTGCCTGAGCTCGCAAGTTCAAGACCCGCCCGGACAACTTGGCAAGACTTCATCTCTACAATAAATCAAAAATTAGCCAGGCGTAGTAGCACACACCTGTAGTTCCAGCTACTTGGAAGGCTGAGGAGGAAGGATCGCTGGAGCCCAGCAGGTCGAGGCTGCAGTGGCCGGGAGCGGCCACTGTACTCCAGTCTGGGTGACAGAGTGAGTCTCCAACTCAAAAAAAAAAGTTCTACACTCTCAGCAGTAATGTATAAAGATTCCAATTTCTCCACACCCTCACCAACACTTGTTTTTTTTTTTTTGGCCACAGCCATTCTAGGGGGTGTGAAGTTGTATCTCAATGTAGTTATTTTTTTTTTTAACTGCGATGTTTTATTTTCATTTTTTGTAGAAATATGGTCTTGCTGTTGACCAGGCAGGTCTGGAACTCCTGGCCTCAAGAGATCCTCCCATCTTGGCCTCCCTAGGTGCAGGAATTGCAGGCATTAGCCACCAAGCCCAGCCTACTAGATGTGGTTTTGATTTGCATTTCCCTACTGACTGAAGATGCTGGGCATCTTTTCATGTACTTATTGGCCATTTATATGTCATTTCTTGAGAAACGTCTTCTGTTCAGATCTTCTGCCCATTTTAAATTGGGTTATTGATCTTTTTACTGTTGTGCTGTAAGAGTTCTTTAAGCAGAGCTTCACGTCCTCAGATTCCCTGTTCTATCTTCTGCTTGACTGCTCTATTCAACACCTACCTGGGTTCAGTAGAAACAAAACTTAAAATTAATGAAATCAGAAGTCACGGGCTGCACAAATATAGCAGATCTAAGAATAACACTGAAACATGTCTCAGACACTTACGTAAGGTTAAACTTGAAGTTGAACTGCCAGGTGTTGATTCCAGAAGGATATTCTCCCTTCTCGTTTGTGAATGTAAGGCCCAGCTGGATGATTTTTAAAAGGTCCACATTGCACCGCAGAAGCTGATACTGGTAATCTATGGAACTACGAAATTCACCAATTGGTCGTACCACAACACCTGGAAATTCTGTGTCCTGGGAAAGAAAAAGTCTCTCACCACAGGTTTCACAAAACAATAGGTGCTAAACTGATAATTCATACATAAAATTTTACTCAACTTATAAAAGTTACATGACAAACCCCAAAATTGGGCACAAAATTCTATCATAAAATACTGACCTTATGCCAGGCACGGTGGCTCACGCCTATAATCCCAGCACTTTGGGAGGAGGGGAGGCAAGAGGATTGCCTGAGCCCACAGGTTCAAGACCAGCCTGGGCAACCTTATCTCTACAATAAGTCAAAACAATCTGCCAGGTAGCATGTGCCCGTAGTTCTGGCTACTTAGAAAACTGAGGCAGAAGGATCACCTGAGCCCAACAAGTCGAGGCTGTGGTGGCTGTGAGCAGTATGCTACTGCACTCCAGCCTGGGTGACAGAGTGAGACTCCAACAACAACAACAACAAAAATACTGACCTTTCTGATATCTACTGAAGAAGCATTAGAAACATGAAGCTTTGCAAACCAATTTAATGACCCTAAATAAGCAGGATGTAAATAGAAGTAATCAGGTAGACAGGTAGTCAATTAAGCCTATTCTAGGCTGAGGACATCATATGAATAAAAATACATATACAGGGAAGTGATACAGTCATTCTGAAAACATTATAAAGAGCCAGGTTTAATCTGAGGAAAAGACTGAAATGGGATCATAGAGATCTGAATACCAGGTTAAAGACCAAATTCTAAAACTCTGAAGCAGGAATCACAAAGGCAAAGTAGTTAATGGAAAGGAGTAAGATGAGCTAGGTGTGAAAGTGCAAACACGGACCAGACCTGGCCAGAAACAGCACATGCCTCTCTCCAGGAGACCCTGAATATTAACCCAGCACTCAGTACCTCTCCTGCCACCCAGCTTCAGGCAGAAACATGAACCTGCATTGCCAGATCTTCCCATTTTCCAGAGATGCCAGAAACTTGGAATGTAAGTGAAGTCTCTTCATTTTTAAATGCTGGCAACAAATTTTTTAGATTTTTTTTTTTTTTTTTTTTTTTTTTTTTGAGTTGGAGTCTCACTCTGTCGCCCAGACTGGAGTGCAGTGGCTGCTCCCGGCCACCGCAGCCTCGACCTGCTGTGCTCCAGCGATCCTTCCGCCTCAGTCTTCCAAGTAGCCGAAATTACAGGCATGCGCTACCACGCCCGGCTGATTTTTTGATTTATTGTGAAGATGAGGTCTTGCTGCCCAGGTGGGTCTCGAACCCGCGGGCTCAGGCAATCCACTCACCTCAGCCTCCCAAAGGCACGGGATTACAGGCTGAGCCACCAAGCCCGGCTTAGATTTTTTTAAAAACATTGTACAGTCAAATTCACTGTATCTGTGGAACAGATATGTCCTATGTGCTGACAGTTTCTGCTTTAAAAAATCTGAACAGAGTAAAATTACTAAAAGCCTAAGATACTAGAGGTTACATCCTATTCAGATGCATTGGCTACCTTGATGTTTCATAAAAACACAACCTTTCCATCAAGTTAAATTTACCATGGCTTTGGTGGAAAACAATAATTTTTTTTTCAAAGTCTCACATTAAATATTCCCTAAGCCCATACAAGGTGAGTTAAGCAGGGTGTGGTAGTATGCACTTATGGTCCGAGACACCCAGGAGGCTGTGGCAGAAGGACTACTTGAGGCCACAAGGTGGAGGTTGTGAGCTATAATTGTACCACTGCACTCCAGACTGGGAAACAGAGCTTAGACCCCCATCTCTAAAATTTATTTTTTATTTTTTTGAGTCGGAGTCTCACTCTGTCGCCCAGACTAGAGTGCAGTGGCCGCTCCCGGCCACTGCAGCCTCAACCTGCTGGGCTCCAGTGATCCTTCTGCCTCAGCCTTCCAAGTAGCCAGAATTACAGGCAAGCACTACCACGCACGGCTGATTTTTTGATTTATTGTAGAGATGAGGTTTTGCCAAGTTGCCCGGGCGGGTCTCGAACCTGCAGGCTCAGGCAATTCACTCACTTCGGCCTCCCAAAGTGTGGGATTACAGGCTGAGCCACCGAGCCCGGCCTAAAATTTAATTTTAAAAAATGTTTTTAAAAGTGAGTCACACAGAGCAAACCTTCTTACCATGGCAATGTAACTGTAACTGAGCACAATCTCCCGGATCTTCCGCATTTCTTCTTCTAAATTGCTGGCCCACACCTCGCAGATAACCTGGCTGTTCTCCACAAGTGCTGCAGGCATCCTGAAGAAACCTGAGATATCACCTGCAGCTCACCAGTTTTAGAGAACAAGCCAGACGACTTTGATCTGATCTAGAGTCAAAAATGTATGTTAAAATCACCAGTAAGTTTATACCCGCAACAAAACAAAGATACCAAAAAATTATACCATCACTTCTTTAGTTTAAGCTAAAACACTAAGATCATTATATTTATTCTTCATTTTATCATGGGGAAATGTGCCTTAACCAGGACTGTCACATCATTCTGCACATAGAAAAATCCTGGAAAATCAGTCCTGAAGGCATCACTTTAGCCATTCTCAATACACTTGGGACCTCTGAAAGCCTGAAAGAATGTGGACCTGACTCTCACTATCAAGTCTTTATACTCTTACATATAGTGAACACGGGCATAGGATGCTCTCCTTCATCCCCCCAAAAAGGACATGCTTCCCCACAACTCAAAGTCAAATACAACTAGAGGCAATTAACTAACTATAGCGCTCTGCAGATCTGTGAAAACAGATCGTGAAATAAGAGATTTAAATGGCAAATACCAATCCCACTTGCTAATCTGAACTCTTAAAAATCACACATAAATTGTAAAGAAATGCCGGGCTTGGTGGCTTAGCCTGTAATCCCGCGTTTTGGGAGGCTGAGGTGAGTGAATTGCCTAAGCCCGCGGGTTCGAGACCCACCTGAGCAACTTGGCAAGACCTCATCTCTACAAAAAAAAAAAAAAATTAGCCGGGCAGGTAGCGCACGCCTGTAGTTCCAGCTACTTGGAAGGCTGAGGCGGAAGGATCGCCAGAGCCCAGCAGGTTGAGGATGCGGTGGCCAAGTGCGAGCCACTGCACTCCAGTCTGGGTGACAGAGTGAGACTCCAACTCAAAAAAAAAAAAAGTTGTAAAGAAACTAAGCAGCAATTCAACCACAGCAATAAAGATGGCAGACAAAATAATTTGGCCAGAAACAGAATGACTCATGGTGTATTTTCCAGGAGGGGAAAGTATTCTCCAACAAACAGTCAACATGGTTCAGCCTCAGAGTAATACCATTATTATTGCAAACTCAACCTGAAGGCTTAGTTCTAAAAAGACCAAAGAGGAGCTAATCATAAAGGCATTTATTTACCTCTAAGGCAACCCCACCACATGGGTCCTCAGGGCAATAGTGGGCTTCAGTGTATATATTTAGGGGAAAATTCCTAGAAACAGTAAAACAAATGTGAGTGGTTTCCCAAGGACCGTGCAAGGAAAATTCTTGCTTTCTACTTTTTTTTTTTTGAGTCAGAGTCTCACTCTGTCGCCCAGGCTGTTCATGGCCACCACAGCCTCAACCTGCTAAGCTCAGGCGACCCTCCCCACTCAGCCTTCCAAGTAGCCGGAACTACTGGTGCGCATGGCCATGCCCAGCTAATTTTATTTATTGTAGAGACGAAGTCTCACCAAGTTGCCTGGGCTGGTCTTGAACCCCTGGGTTAAGGCTATCCTCTCATCTTGGCCTCCTAAAGTGCTAGGATTACAGGCATGAGCCACAGTGCCCAGCCTGCTTTCTACTTTCAAGAGTGGCAGATGCAACAATGAGAATCTGCATCAAAACAAAATGAGCACCAAGGGTCATCATTTCTCTGAAAAACTCATCTGTTGGTTTGTCAGCAAACCCTGAAGATTCCATTTAGTAAAGTATCCTGCACTTCTACAGATTACACTCTGTAATTATGGCTATTAGACTTAAGTAGACTACGTGGTATCTCCTCCAACAAACACAGGTGGAAACTTATTAAGGGTATTTTAGGCCAGGCATGGTGGCTCACTCCTATAATCCCAGCAATTTGGGAGACTGAGGTGGGAGGATCACTTGAAGTCAGAAGTTTGAGACCAGCCTAGACAACATAGCAAGGCCTTGTCTCTACAAAAAAATTTAAAAATAGCTGGACCTGGTGGTGCGCACCTGTAATCCCTGCTACTTAGGAGGAGGAGGCAGGAGGATGGTATGCACCTGGGAGTTGGAGGGTGCAGTGAGCCGGGATCATGCCACTGCACTCCAGCATGGGCAAGAGTGAGACCCTGACTCAAAAAGAACAAAAAAAGTAGCCGGACTCGGTGGCTCAGCCTGTAATCCCACACTTTGGGAGGCTGAGGTGAGTGGATTGCCTGAGCCCGTGGGTTCGAGACCCGCCTGGGCAACTTGGCGAGACCTCA